TCTGAAGGAAGAGTATAACAAAGTGGCTGATGCGTAGGGCAGAGTACCTCTGCATGTTAGCGACGGAGTTTGGGATTTCTGATGATGTGACTCGATCTATGGTGGAAGCCTATCAAAAGGACACAATCATGTATGAGATCATCCACAAACTGGAAGCTAAAGACAAAGCTACTTCCGATGAGTTTGTGCGGGTTGAAGGCTTGCTGTTCCACTTATGCATTTCGAATAGAGAGTCTTTGCGTAGTTTATTTTTAGGTGAATGCCACGATGCAACCGGACATTTTGGCTATAGGAAGACAACAACAAGCTTACTGCAGCGATTCTAGTGGCCCACATTGATGGATGATGCAAAGAAGTATGTAGAAACTTGCCAGGTTTGTCAGCATGACAAGCCACGGATGCAGGCACCGCTTGGGCTTATCAAGCCCTTACCCATTCCTGCTGGCCCAGGTCAAAGTGTGTCCATGGATTTCATAAATACCCCTGAGAAAGAGCGTTAAACGGTACATCTTTGTCATTGTGGACAGCTTCACTAAGTATGATAGACTAATCGCTATGCCTGAGACAGCTAGGACTGACCATGTCATCAAGCTATTTATGGACAACTTGGGCAGTAAAAATTGTGACTGGTGTACTGGAAGCAATTCCTACAGTAGGATCGCCATTAGTAGAATTGCTTCGTGGAAGCGTGAGTGTTGGACAATCAACTTCGGTCTACCTTAGTTTATTGTGAGTGACAGGGATGTCAGATTCACTAGCGATTTGTGGCAAAGTACAGCCCAACAGATGGGCACCCGATTGCAAATGACATCAGGAAACCACCCTGAGTCAAAGGGACGGGCTGAACATATGAACCGGGTAGTGCAGCACTTGCTTTGGCATTATATTAAGCCAAGTCAAGATGACTGGGATGAGTTCTCTCTCATCGCCAGCCTGTTTAGCAATGTTGTGCACAGCACTACCGGTAAGACCCCCAACCAGCTGCATCTTGTGGAAGCCCGGATCTGCTCTTGACTTTCTGTTGTCTGAAAATCAGCCAACCGCAGCACCTGGTAGCATAGAGTTTGCTGTCAAGTATGAACAGATGCTGCAGCAGGCTGTAGAGCACATCAATAAGCTCAAGATGCCATGTTTGCATCTGAGAACAAACACAGAAGACTGTCTGCATTGCAGAGAGGTGAACGAGTCAGGGTAAAGTTATCTGAGTTGGGACAGTAATTGGGAATCTCACGTAAACTGATGCCACAGTACTTTGGACCCTGGGAAATTCTTGATATAGTGGGAGATCAACCAGATGGTCCTTCATATGTCATTCGCATCCCTGGTCACCTCCGCACACACCCTGTTTTCCATGCCTCCAAGTTAGCACCTTTCGCTGAAACAGAACAGTTTCCCTCAAGAAGATCAACGCTGCTCCCAACCATGGACGGACATGTCGACATTGATGACATTGTTGAGCACAAGCTGATGCCTGTACCCAAGCCTCCAGGCAGGGGATGCCCTCCGAAACCGCAGATGCAGTATCGAGTACGTTTCAGACATCATATGGATCTTAAAGAAGATCGGTGGTTCACCAGAGAGGATTGATGATACTGCTCCCCAAGTTATCACAAGCTATAAACAAAATTTGAAAGGGAAGCAGCCTGCTGTGTAACGACTTCTCAGAGGACTATCGAAGTAAAGGCGGAGGGAGTGCGAGGGTTTATGTTCTCGGCATAGGGCCCTGCAGCAGGCTTGTACCAGCCCTAAGTGAAGGCGGGCCCCCTGAATCTCAATGCGCCCTGAACTCGTCAATTTTTGCAAATCTTGGTCGGCGCCAGACAGTTGCCACGCGCCAGTTGGTTACATCCGCCTTGCTCGTGAGAAGCCAAAATCTTCTAGGCTCTTCCGGCACATGGTGTAAGCAGGGAGCATCGCATGTCTGTGCCTGGGTGGTTGGGCATGCCTAACCAATTGGGTCCCAGGCCACTGTCTGAACGGGCCTGGGGGCAGACACTTTGGCTGAGACTGAAGCTACTGGAAACTCGAACTCACGTGGGAAGAGGCAAAGCGCTGGCCACTTTCCATATAGGAAAGGGCAGGGCGCAGGGGAGGATGGTCGGGCACTTGCAAGTAGATGCGGCAGCGCTTCTGGAGCTAGCACTCACGGGCTGCTGCGCTAGTGCATAGGCAAGTGTGCGCACACGTGCGGTCGTGCGAGAAGGCAGGGCGCTGCTGAGGGCAGCGCCATAGCCAGCCCCCATAGCCGGGCTTGGCTTGGGCCTTAGCCAGTGGAGGTGGTGGTGGTCTTCGTGTATGAGGGTGAAGACGTGGGTGATGAAGTCAAGGGTGAGAGAGAGAGAAAAAAATGGGGTTGATGATGTGACGACACTTACCTGGTCTTGGCGATGGTCTACAAGGGTCGACATCTTCATGTACTTCGGTTCTGCTGCTGACGTCAACCAGATCCATTGTCAATTTGTAGGCTGCTAGTATGCTGCGTGATCGTACTCTGGGCGTTGAGCGCCAAGTCGGAGGAAGGGCTCTGGATACATATGTTGGTGGTGGCGAGAGTATGCTCTCTTTGACATTTGGATTCAGTACTTTGGTTCTCCATTGGTGGAATATCAGTGCATTTCTGCTTTCTGGACAGCGTTGGATTTTCTGGCCTTCAATGTGAGTTTGCATTCTGGATTTCTGTCATTTCGCTATTGCTCACTTTTCCTTGCACTTGTGTGCAAAACCAACTGCGCTAGGCTGCTGGTTCATTGGGGTACCCCTACTTTTTTTTTAATTAAAAAAAATACAGCTGTCTTCTCCTCATATAGGGGACAGTTGTATTTTTTTTTTTCCCTACCCTGTTTTCTTCTCTCTTGAGTCACACTAGCTACCCATATCTATGCCCTACCCACAAGTCCTACAAGGCAGGTGGATCCTACCCTTATCCCTACAAGGCTGATAATGGACCACACGGAAGACCAACTTTCAGGAAAGGCAACTACCCCTCTAGGCGTAGGGTCGAGGGACAGGGACAAAAGTAGAATTTGCTAGGGACCCAGTAGCGATATTCCAGTAGCTTGGTAGGCCTAGAAAGGTCCGGTAGCTTTTCAGTAAATTATTATTGTCCAGCATCCGAATGTAGGTACTAGGTAGATATCAGGTTAGATTTAGGCCCTGTGGACGGATTGCAGACTTTAGTGATGTTACCACCCGAATGGGGTAGGAACCAGTAGGCCCTGGCAGTCGCTGGGTGAGGTCTGGAGGCCGAACGGCAAGCGTATATCATTTGGTGCAGTGAAGAGTCTGGGCATTCACCCGGCAGTCGTGCTGCTGCTCCTCCTAGAGGGGGAAGTGAGATGGAGCTTTTGGGTGAAGATGAGAAGCAAGAAGACCTCCATGGAGGAGTGAGGAGGAGGGTCGGCGGGGAAGTTGCTTGGCTGTGGAGGGAGGTAGTAGATGAGGCTGTGGTAGTAATGAAGGAGGAGGAAGGATGGGGGAACTGACAAGGAGACTTACCTTTGGGGTGGACCTTCATCTTCACCGTCCTGTTTGGCTCTGGATCTGGAAGCCCCCTGTTGGGGTATTGGTTGGACATGGAGCACATCTGGAATAAGGCTATGGTGGCAGGAAATGGGAGACACATAGTTCTAGTTGTGTTGTCCTCTGAACATCCACGCCAGGCATAGATGAAACGCCTTAGCTGCCTTATGAAGAGGAGAGGAGAGCGAGAGGAGGCTGAAGCAGTGCTCTTTCTTCACTGGTAGTAAGGGAGATGATTTGGACAATTTCGGACATTGATTCTTGTTTGTTCATTCATTTATTACTGGATTTAATTGTGAATAAGAAGAGGCAGCGGCAGCTATTTGAGGGTCGATGATGATAAAGTAGACGAGGGGGATGGCATTGGTTCAATCTTTTGTTGATTCTTTCTTCAGTCTTCTTCTCTCTTTGTGTAAATCCACTTCTTCTTCATATGTGTTGTATGACATTGTCTCAAAGTTGAGGCTTGCATTGTGAATTGAGCAGGGTCAAAGGAAAAATAAAAGCACTAAAATTGACCTCCAAATGCCTATTTCAGTGGTTGGGGGGCGCTGTACACAAGGGTCCCTGTTAAGCACTTGTGTGGGCATAGTACAAACTGGGCCCCAGTTGACCATGTCTACAGTCTTCCCCCAAACTGAACGCACGTATGTACTATTCAACTTTCCCTGGAAAAGTCCATTTCTCAAAGTCGCCCCCGGAAATCCAAATAGTACGCACATACGTTCTACTCGAATCATACGCACGTAAGTTCTATTCGAACAGACGGGTGTTCTATTCAAATAGAACACACGGGTGACGGCTCTCTCTCCCTCTCTCTCTCTCTCTCACACACACACACACACACACACACACACACACACACACACACACACACACACACACACACACACACGAGGGCCTACCATTTAGTCGCTCCCAAGCCCAGTAAGTATGGCATGCATGCCATCTGTAAAGGGTCTGGGCGCACTAGCTTACTTTTGTTTGCCTGCCAAATTTTGTGTGAGAGTCTGCTGGACTGTGTTTCACCAGGTTTCCAAGATTCAATGGTTAGTGTCTCTACCTTCTGTTACTCCGAATAGAATGTACGGTCATTCTTGCGGTATCTTGACTGAAAGTTGGTTCGAATATGGCTATATTTTTTTGGCGCACTGGCCTTTTCCCTCCGAACTTGCGCCGTGCCGGATCACTGTTCATCTTGCCACGGTCATAGTGTACTGCGTTTTGGTGAATAGTATTCGGGTAAAGACGGTGGTTGATACGCAATGCCGGATAATAACTGTCATATGTTGGTAGCATCTAGTGAGGTATGGTCCTTATTTTCATGGGATGCGGAGTTCTTGATGTGGGGTTGATGCGGGGTTAATGTGGCCCATGCTTTTTAGTTGTCTTGACAAGTTCGACCCAAGCATAACATTGCTTTTTCTTTGTGACTCTTGTTGACGAGTTTGTTCACGTGGGTTTGATTTGTTGGAAAACAGAGAGCTTGCTGAATGTGTCGGCAAAGGATGCCCATCTCTCCGCAATATCCCAAGAGACAGGTTGGAAATTTGCGTCATCCCTTCAACTCCTTATTGATTGTCTTGTCTCTATGTACTCATCTGTGTCATTGATGTTGTCACCTGCATCTCCATTTCGTTGTTTTCTCTAACCTCCTTGAGCTACCTATTCCATTCCTTCTCCTCCTTGTCTTGCTATGGTCTCCTGCTCGGACTCGTGGTTATTGTGTGGTTCATCCACCTTGTCCTCCTCTCCCATCCCTCCTCCCCCCTTGCCCCTCCGTTTCCTCCCCCTCCACTTTGCCTCATAGAGGATTGTCTGTGGAGTTGCCTATGGGGGCTCACGGGAGGCCTCTTCTTTCACAGAGTCGGGAGGGAAGGGATGTGTCTGCGTGATGCATTGCCCAGAGTGAACCGTCAGCAATGCAAGTCCAAAGATCACCAACATGAGAAAAAGATGCAATGCGACACAGTGGAAGACTCAAATCAGATAGGACCGACTCACGATGCAGCAGAAATGACAATGTGACTCAAATCCGACCTCACACCCAGCAAGAGGGGGTCCAAACATAGAAGATACCTTGCGCAGGTGTGTGTGTGTGTGTGTGTGTGCGTGTGTGTGTGTGTGTGTGTGTGTGTGTGTGTGTGTGTGTGTGTGTGTG